ATCTGCAAAAAACAGTAAGGTGGTAACATGGTATTAGCTCTTCCAAAATATAAAATTTTAACTTCAAGTAATATTTTTTCATTGTAATGTCTATCTATGAAAAAGGTGTTAAAATAATTTATTGTAAGCAAGTGTGAGATCATAACTGATTAATAATTTTCATTTAATATAAATATATGTTGCTGTTATTACCATTAATGCTAAGATTTTGATATATTTTTTATTCAGATGAAGGAAGACTTCTGTACAAAGTCCTTTAATCGTATGCTCTGGAAATTATTACAGGATGCAACTGTAGGCGATTTCAAGGTATGATCCTATTGTTTGATTGAAAGGAGTGAGAATAATAACAGAAAACCTGTCTGTACTATTGATGCCTCAAATAATACTGATGCATGATGTAAATGTATTTCATATCAGGTACAAATAATATAGTTAGTTAATTATAAAGTAGACTGCTTCTAAATTGTTGCTGATGGAGACAGAACTGTGTGAAATACCAAAGGTATGCACGACTTTGAAGACTAAACTGTATTCAGTTGTAAAAAGTTTTACTTTTGGCGACAGAAATTGAACCTGTTCCACCCGCCTCGTATCCTGTCACCACAAGATCCTTAATAATGCTCGTATTCTTCTATCTTATCAACGAACTTCAAAATAGAAGTTTTCTAAGATGTTTCCCCGCAATATTTTTGTATGCATTTCTTGTGTCTCTTATTCTGTTTAGAAAAATTAAATCCCCTTGCTGTAATGTTGAAGTATTTTGGATTTGTTTAGGAATTTCATCACACGATTTTCTTGAAATCAAACGACAGGTAGACGCGCATAGAATGTCTTGTGATTAGCACGTGTTCTTACCTCAAAATAGTTGTACATTGCTAGATCACAGATGGCCTCAGCATCGCTGTTTCTAATCACTGAGAACTGTTCGAGTGCATCTGATATGTTCTTGTACTTCATCATCAGCTGGTCAAGCAAGCGACAGTCTTCAAATCCCTGAAATATTATTTACTGTGTTATTTGTAGAAACTTTTAGAGATAGCATAAGTGTGTCGTGTGGGAGCAGGATTTGAATTCTGATAGTAAACGGTGTTGAATATGTAAGTAGAAAAATTCCCGTGTTCCAGCAAACTTTAATATTTATGTAAATCCTCTACTTGTGATCATATAAAATTCTAAATTGTCAATATATAGATATTTAGCATGATGAAATTTATGAACAACCATGTAAGATTTATCATTGTTTGTTTGTTTATGTATTTAATGATGCTTTTCAATTGCATAGGTCTCATAACACGAAATAAGACTGTGTATGATGAATTAGGAAGAATATGATGGGAAGTGGTCTTGACGTATTTTAAAGTGCCATCCAAAAACTTGCCTGGAGGGACTGAGGAATCGTGAAAAACCCGTCAAGGCAGTCAGCCTTCGAGTCGAGCAAATGGTCAACGTGACCGGTTACCAGGTACACAGCCTTTTAATGTGCTTATATAGGAAATGATGCAATAAATTTAATTGTACTTGTGCATTTGTGTCTCTGTCAGTAATCTGAGTTTGTATTTGTATGTTACGTGTATAATGTATATAACAAAGGTAAACATAAAGCATTGTTTAAGGGTTGTGATCGCTGCCGGCATCCCAGTAGGTAAGCGGCTGTGAACGACAATTTATGAATAAGTTAAAGTGAACTACATGTAATTCCTAAACTTCCCACTTATTTGATTGCATTAGTTTGGTGTAGGAGGCACTCGGAACATAATCTCGATTCTACGGCATAAAATATTA